TACTATGATGAGAATTTTTATTAGGTATACCTAAAAGAACAAGTAAAATAATGAAAAATAAGGAATACAAATATTCACTAAATACATAAATAAATCATCAGCATTTGATGATTGGCCATTAGAGAAATGCACATCAAAATGACACTGAAATTTCACTGAACTTCAGTAAGAGTTGCTAGCATCAAAGAGACAAATATTGATGCTGTGGGAGAAAGGTAGAACAGTGTTGGAAAAGTAAAGTAGTACCAATACTATGAAAATGAGTGGGAAGATTAGATTTCTCAAAAATCTAAAAACATGAACTCCATTAGATGAACTATGTCCCTCCTGGTATCATTCCAAAAGAACTAAGGTCACCATATTACAGTGATACCTGCATCCCTTGTTTCTAGTAGCAAACCTCAGGATTGCTCAGTCATGCAAATGTTCTATATGCACATCAACATCTGCATTGATAAAGAAAACGTTGCTTTATATACAATGGAGTATTACTTGGTCTTAAGAACAATACATTCGTTTCATTTGAAGAAAAATTTTTAGACTCTGAGTCCACAATAATAACTGAAATAAGTCAGACACAAGGTTATATATTGCATGGCTTTTGTGATTTGAGAAGCCCAAAGTGTGAAAGATATTTAGATGAAATTAAAAGATAAATTATATAAAACCAGGAGTCTTTGTAAAGACTTAAGAAAATATGGTTATGGGGGAGATGGGAGGATTGGGCAACAAAAAGTAGAATCAAGTGTGATATGTGTATGTGTACAAATTTCCCATGATGATAGTATATATTATGCATAACAAATATTGCAAAATTTCAAAAACAAATAAGAGCAAAATAAAAGAACCATGCAAGAAAAAGGAAGGTAAAGTATGTGGAGATTGAATAGGGATTTGGCAAAGGAGTAACAGAGGAGCTCTTTGTAAGGAGATAGGAAATGTCATAAAGGTATGATTTGTATACATACTATCAGAAGAAAGAACTACTATATACATCAAAATTCTGATAAAATATTAAGAAAAATTGTTACAGGAAAAATAAATGTCAATGACTTTTGATCAGGTGATGTACAGTAGAATACAATCTCATACTAACTATGCAAGATAAAATTATGTTTCAAGAATATGAAAAATAATAATATTATTTGGTGTCTGCAATTTTAGTATACCTATCTTACCTGTGTACATACTTAAATGCAAATATGCGGTAAATTACATTTTTGCAACTAAAATTCACAGCTATAGCTAAAATGGGCAGTCGAGATTTGTTGAAGAAATTCCATGCATATATGCATGGCCCATGAAAGAGAGAGTAGAAACAAAGGAGATCTCTGCATGGAATATCCCTTGCTTCAGGAGTCACAAAATCAGCAATTCTGAGTCTCTGACTTCTGCAGAGTTTATCTTTCATGCGATTACTTGGAGTATCAGGATAATAGGACTGTTTGGGTTTAATGAGGAGTTTTGGATATTGAGTCCTGAGCGACAGAGAATCTGCCAGAGAACATTTCACTGAAAAGTTGCTCCTACTCAGGAAGAAGAATTGCATCACCTCCCGCAGAGGATCTGTTTGTTCTGAATTCATTAATTCAGTCCATGTGACCACCCTTTTCAAGACATGTCTTCCGTCATCTTCAGGTCAGATGCTGAGCAGCATTCTCACTGAAGGGAACAGGAAAGTGAAGTCCTTCAGTTAACCATCTGGACCTGCTGGCAGGCATTTTGTCACAATTTCATTCAGGGTAGGTAGTGAAGAAAATGCATGAATAAGGCAACGAGCAACTGGTCCTTCAGGAGCCATGTGGATGACTCTCACTTTGACATGTCTGTCACACCTTTTCCAGTTTCTATCCTTCTTCCAGACATTTGCTTTTCTACATAGCAGTGGTGAGCATTTTCCTCCTGAACAGAAATCGGCTTGTCCTCAAATGCACTGTCTCTCCAAGGGGCGTGGATTTAGCCCAGATGTTCCACCACCTGCGTCAAACATATCGTCTCTCACAAAATACTCCAAAATTTACTTCAATTCTTTGGTGAACATACATACATTTCTAGAGCTTTTCTAACAAAGTAGCACAGACTTGGTGGCTTAATAATAACACATTTATTTTCTTGCATTTCTGGAAATGAGAATTTGAAAAACCAGAGTTTGAATGGGGTTGGATCTTCCCCAGTACTGTCCTTGACTCCTAGCTGGCTGTTTTCGTTCTGTGTTTTCTGCAGTCTTTCTTCTCTTCATTTTCGTGTCCTAATTTATTCTTCACGTAAGGTCCCCCCACATCCTGGAATATGGCCCATTCTCGAACCCACATTTAAAACTAGTTACATTTTTAAATTAAGTTTATTGGTATAATTTATTTATACAGTACAGTTACATTAATTACTGGGATCTTGTACATTTACATAACATCTTGGTTCTTGTTTTTTCCTCATTCCCCTCTCCACTCTTCATCCTCTCCACCTTATATATTTACACTTGTAAATATATTTTGTCTTCATGTTTTTATTTTTCTCTTATTTTTTCATTTCCCTTCTACAGTCTACACTATTTGGAGTTAAATTTGAATATATGAATTTTTAAGGTGATATAATTTAGTCCATAACCATCAGTTCATCTCATCTTCCTTTTGCTGGTTCAGTAGGTTTCAGTTTACAAACAACTCTTATAAGGTGATAAGTGCAGATTTTCCAATTTGAAAAACTATGATATACATTTTGGGGGTATAATGTGTGTGTCACAGTAGTATAATAATTTATTGGGGAAGACAATTTTAAAGTTTGAGCAAGAACACTAAATGAGAAGCTTCAAATATGCCTTTGTTATTTCTTGCAGTAAAACATCTAAACATATATGCTTAGGAATATAAAAATTTTACTGTTTGTTAGCCAGCTTCTGTACTTCTATTATATATGCATGATCTATAATGATGATACATGTACCTGTGCATATTCAGAAATGCTTAACATTTTCTCATATGGGATATGTTCCTTAGTTCAGCAATTCAAAATTTGGGGGATTCATGGTTCTCATTTATTTTCTATTTAATGCATTTTTCTTGCAACAGATTTATATATAAATTTATATATTTAATATTACTTTATTCCTTTTTCTACTTAACCAAGACTCTTAGTGGTATTTTCAGTACAAAAACTTTCTGTGTAATTTGCATTCATTAGTTATTGATCTTCTTTCTTTCATTTCACTGGACTCAACTACATCATCTTATAACTTCTTCCTGAGAGGTGAAAAATGCCATGCATCATTGCTCATGGGGGACACACACACACACACACATGAACGCACTGCAAAGCTCAGTGAGTCCTGCCTGCCCACACTTGTTGTCTGCTTTTGCTTTATTCTTTTCTTCTCCATGAAAATTTTCTTTTCAAATTTATTGAGTTATAATTGCATGAATAAAAGGGTCTATACTTAATATGTATGATGTGGTGGAGGGAGAAATATAAATTATAAAGTGATCATCACATTATAGCTAAGCAGCACATCCACCAGGCAGTTTTTATTAAACAAAGGAGGATGCCTAAGCTTCTCTTCCTGTTGAATATTTTTCATCATCACAAAGTAAATTTGGGAGCCTGAATTGAGTGTGTGATTCCAATATGAAACAAAATGATCACAGCTGCATCTCTCTTCCTAAGGAGATGGAGATCTTTGTTCTTTAGAGACACAATTTTTCTATGTGTGTATTATCTTGTGAATCTCTATCTTTGGAACAACAACAACAAAAAAAAAAAAAGTGCCACCATTAGTTTTCAAAAGAGGCCATGAATTTCCTCATTTTAAATATAGCTATATCTTCTGTTGTCTTAAATTCTATTAATGACCTGGTCCCATGCATTTAAGGGAAGAAGTTCCCAGAGGGTTAGTCAGAATAAATCATCCACACCATTACTCAACTACTCTTATAATTATTTACTAAAGCAGTTTGGTTTCATTTGTTTCCAACAATGCCTTGCAAATACATAGGCAACATTTTCTAATACTTGTTCATAGCCACCTGATGTGTATTGTCCACTGATTAAAATTAGCTTACTGAGTGGAAGTAGGCATGCTTAAATATTAATGGAATATTTGGGGCAGAAAAAGAAAGTATTAAAATAATAAAATAAAGAAAATCATGACATTCAGGATCATTTAGGAATGCTAATGCTGCCCAACCAAGAGACATTCACAAAAACTTTTTCAGAAAGTCAACTCATCAGTCAAACCATTGGATCTGTGAATCAGTCTTTCTTAATCATTAACTTCACACTTTGTGTCCATGATGTGTTCTCATAGGTACACAGTGCTGATACCATGAACAGCTTCATCTGTATTTTGCCAAGGCCTTTGAGTGATTCTGAGGTATACCAATATGGAAAAAAATGGCTCAGAAGATGTATGTGATAAGTCAAGCACTATACATTTTCTTTGAGGGTGTGAAAAAAATTCTGAAGGACATCCATGTCATATTACCTCACAGACTCAGAAAATGATACAGTATGAAAAAGTTTTAGTGCTCAATAAAGACATTGGAAGTCATAAGACATGAGTCAAGAGGAATAGGACAATATAAGTAAAGATTTCAAAATTTGTCTAGCTCAATAAAAGTGACAAAATATTTCTTTGTGCTAAAAATTTGTTTTTGAAACTTCAGAGGTATCAAATTCATCTGGAGTGTTTGCTAAGACAGATTTTTGGCCCTTACTCTCGCATTTTGTCAAAGCAAGTCTGGAGCAGGTCCAAAATTTTTAATATCAACTGTGTTTCCAGACACTGTCACTTTTGCTTGTATAGAAAGTTTGTTTTATTTTCTTTTCACCTTTCTTTTCCATCAGATTCATTAGGAACATGCAAGCTATAAATCAACTGTTTCAGAATTTTTTCTTCTGGGACTGACAGATGATACACAACTGCTATCCTGTCCATGTACCTGGTCACTGTGCTCAGAAATCTGTTCATCATCCTCGCTGTCAGCTCTGATTCTCACCTCCACACCCCCATGTACTTTTTCCTCTCTAACCTGTCCTTTAGTGACAACTGTTTAATCACATGCACTGTCCCAAAGATGTTGGTGAACATCCAAGTACTGGATCAGAGCATCTCCTACACAGGCTGCCTCTTCCAAGTCTGCTATGTCTTAGCTTTTGGTGGTTTAGAAAGTTGTCTCCTTGCAGTGATGGCTTATGACCACTATGTGGTCATTTGCCACCCTCTCGGGTACACAGTAATCATGAGTGCTCAATTCTGTGCCCTGCTGATTTTTTTCTCCCTGTTTATTAGCACTGTGCATGCCCTGCTCCACACTCTGATGGTGCTGCACCTGTCCTTCTGCACAGACCTTGAGATCCCACACTTTTTCTGTGAGCTTGCTCAGGTCATCAAGCTCGCCTGTTCTAAAACCCTCAGCAATAACATTCTAATATATTTGGTGGGTGGCCTCTTTGGTGGTGTTCCTCTCTCAGGAATCATTATCTCTTATATTCCCTTTATGTCCTCAGTCTTGAAAATGCCATCAAGAGGAAAGTATAAAGCCCTTTCCACCTGTGGGTCTCATCTGTGTGTTGTTTCATTGTTCTATGGGACAGGTTTTGGGGTCTCCATCAGCTCTGACTATCAGCTCTGTAGTTACAGATTCAACAAAGACGACTGCAGTGGCTTCGGTGATGTATTCTGTGGCCACTGACATGGTGAACCCTTTTATCTACACTCTGAGGAACAGGGACATGAAGGAAGCCTTGAAGAGACTCAATGTTATGTTACCTTCTTTTCTGTAATGTATCATTTGTTTTTCATTCAGGTTTCCAGAGCAAGTCAAAGCAACAGGATTTTGAGGGAGACAGAAAGCCTGATCTTTTTTTCAATACGACAATTTTCTACTCTGGTTATATAACATAATGTCAGATCGATTTGAACCTGGCTTGCAACCTGATGTTGTTTTTTGCTTCACTCTCTAAACTTGGCATATGATTTTAATTCTCTAAACACAATTTCTTTTCTTAAGTTCCCTTGACACAGAGCCTGAAGCAGAGGCTCTAATTTTATTATTATTATTGTTGTTGTTATTATTATTGTTATTATTATTATTATTATTATTATTATCATTATTATCATTATTATTATTATTGTACCAGGGATAGAACTTGGGTCATTGTATTTGTGAGGCAGGTGGCAGAATCACTGAGCTAAATTCCTGCCCCCAGAGGCTCTGATCTTAACAAATTTCTGTGGTTTAGTCTCAGAAGAAGGTAAGATGAGGAAGTGGGTAGAGCAGGGAATGTAAGCAAAGTTGTTTTCATAAGCACAGACATATGTTTATGGCTCTGTGAGTTGTATCCTACAGCAAGTACTACTAATGAAGCAAAAGAGTGAATAGCCAGAGACTTTGAAGTAATTCCTAAGACCTGTTATTGAAAAATCACAACTTTCAAGGCAATAACAGAACCTGCCATATTTAGGATTATCATCTATAAAATTTTCATAATTGATGAAAGCAATGACTTGACATTATTTTTGTTATTTAAAACTGATTATTAAAGTGTAAAGAGGAGGGGAAAGGAAATAGTGGAAAAATAAAAATGTGAAAAAATGGAAACAAAGTCTTTGTAAATATGGAAAGGAGGGTAGAGGTATGGGAAAAAATAAGAACCAAGACATATCATGTAAAGGTATAAGAACCTATGATAAATATAGCAGTTTTGTTGTTGTTGTTTTGTTTTGTTTTTCCTTTCAATGTACCAAAAAACTTAATGGGGAAAAATGTAGGACCAGGTCCTGCTTCTGCCTATGAATCCAGTTATTGTCTGCAGTGCTCTTCACATCTGAATGATACTTAACCTATTTTCCTCTTAGAACTACAAGTAAATTCTTTTGCTGATTAAAAAAAAGGATTCTCATAGCTAACTGTGTCAACTTGAGAAAGAAAATCTCAACTGGTTGGATTAGCATAGTTCTTGGTGTAGCCGAAGGGATTTACTAAACACAGAAGACTTGCCCAGGCTGCAAGTACCACCAACTAATGGGCTTGTAGCCTGGGGGAATAAAAGTGAAGTGAAGAAGGAAGACTTGTTTCTATTTCTTCTGAGAAGCTCCTGTCCTTTTCTTTACCTTGGTTGTTATCCTCTGGCTTCCACTCCTTTTGGCTTTCTGATATGGACTTGCAAGGGACACTACTGTGACCTCCATGCCTTCAAACTTGAACTAGATCCTCTAGATCTTCAGTGTGCAAACAACCCTTTTGCACTCTTCCACATCTGAGTATTGTAAGGCTGTTGTAAGCCTATCCTGTAAATCATTACATATTTATATATCTTGTGTTAAATCTTTTCCTGTAGTGACAAGTGACTGATATACATAGAAAACCTGTGCAACACAAAGAGGATAATTATAGATCTGATAAGCATAAAGTGTCAGGATACAAAATCAACTTCAAGATTCAAAAGCATCCCTATTCACCAACAATGAATTCATTGAACAAATAATTAGGGAATCGATTCCATTTCAAACATACTTAAAATTTACATACCTCAAAATCTAACTAACCAAAGAGGCAACAATCCTTTGCAATAAAAACTTTATAGAACATGAAGAAATTAAAACAACCTTGGAAAAAGCTTTGTTCATGAATTGCAAAAATTAATTTTATTAAAAGGAACATATTACCAAGAGCAATATAAACCTTTAGTGTAATTTGTATTAAAATACCAACAATACTCTTTAAAGTGATAGAAAAAATAATCCTAACATCCAGTGGAATCAGAAATGAATTAAAATGGCCAAAGCAACTTTCAGGAAAAAGAGCAGTGCTGGTGACTTCACAGTATCAGATTTCAAGTTTTACCACAAAACCATAGTAACAAAACAACATGATATATCACAAAATATTAGGATGTAGACACAAATGGAATGGAACAGAGCACAAATGGAATGGAACAAACCCAAGCATCTCCAGCTATTTAATTTTTGTCAAAGGAACAACAAACACATGCTGAAGGAAAAAAGTCTCTTTAACAAATGGTTCTAGGAAATTGGATAGACACATGACAGTGATTGATATTAGATTTCTATTTGTAATCTGCACTAACAACAAGTTAAAATGGATCAAATACCAGATACAAAACCAGAAGCCCTAAAATATTCTGCAGGACAATATAGGGGAAACACTTGAAGCCACCTGCATAGACTTCCTGATACCACCCTAATAGTACAAGAAATATATTAATAATCAACAAATGCAATTACCTCAAGTTAAAATGTTTTTGACAGAAGCATAAACAATTACAAGGATGAAAGGACAACCTAGAAAATAGGGAAACTCTTTGCTTCCTACTGTGTTAGTAGAGGACTAATATATAGACTACATAAACAACCCCCCAAAAATTAATCCCCAAAAGACAATCAAAACAGGCCATGTGAGCTGAATAGACATTTCTAAAAAAAAATGACTACAAACAACCAATAAGTATATGAAAAAGTGTTCAACAGATTTGGCCATTTGGGAAATGAAAAGCAAAACTACACTGAGATAACATCTCATCCCATCCAGAATGTAAATCATCAAGAATACACAAAGCAACTAATGCTGGTGAGGATGTGGAGGAAAGAAGGAGCCCTTATGCATTGTTTGTGGAATGTAATAGAAATATCATTTGATGTAGCTATACAACCCCCGGGTTCATCTAGAAGCATTAAAGTCAACCTATTATAACGGTACTTGCATAATCATTTTATAGCAATAGAATTCATAATAGCTGAGAATGGAAGCAGCCTAGATGCCCATGAACAGAAGAATAAAGCAAGCATGATATACATGAATATAATTTAGCCTTAAGGAAGAATGAATCAATATTATTTATAGGAAAATGAATGGAAGTAGATCCATCAAGGTAAACAGAATAAGATGGAATCAGAAAGTTAATCACTGTGTTTTCTGTCATCTGAGAAACAAAACATTAGTTCATAAATGAGTGAGATAAATGAGAGATGATAGGAAACTAGAAAGTTGACTATTGAAAATGGGGAATGGTATCAACCCTCTGGCAAGGTAATGAAGAGGAAAAAAGATATTAAAATAATTAATATATGTTTTTTTTCATGTACCAATTCCCCATAATAAATATAACTATTCCATAGTACTAGTTTAACTAATAAAAATTATATCCATTTAAAAACAAAAAAGAAAACTGGCAAACCAATAAAACAAATAAAAGTCAAATTTCACAGAATACAATATCCCATTGTACTGTATTCATTGGTAGATTTTCATTTTATTTTTTCACATTTTGCTTTTGAGACAATGCTTCACTAAGTTTCCTAGGCTGTCCTCCAACTCATGACTACCTCACAAGTAACTGAATTACAAACACATGTCTTCATGCTGGGCTGAATTTTAGTTTTTGAATTTTTTTCAGGAGCCAAAGTATTTTTATTTATTCCTTTTTGATGCTAATCTTGTCTTATTTAGGCATCCATACAACAAGGAAAGCTTTTTAGCACCATTATTTCTTTCTTGGATGTTTTTCTGAAACTTTTAGCTATTCTAGGCCACAGTCATGGGTTTGGCAACTCAACTCTTGGGCTCTCCCATATTTCTCAAGCTTTTTTTCTGCCCTTTGCATTCAAAGATTTTGTTTTCTTATTACCTGGAATACATAATTTCTGCCTTCTGGGAATGAAAACCAGAGCACTCTGTCCTCTGCCCAGTCAACAAAACATGTTTGATGTCTTTTTTTGTTTCCTGAAAAATCATATTTTATATTTACATCTACTCTGTTTTTTTGGTATGCTACTTAGAAAAATTCTTTATCATATAATCTAATGTTGGCCTTTGTATATTTTATCTGTTTTAAATGCCTTATCTTTCATGTGTTTTAAAATTAATGGGGTAAGATGTTAATGGAAGACATTCTGACACTGTCTTCTTAAAGTTGATTTTCAATAATACTTTTGAAAATTATACATCAAAAATATTTATGCAGAAAGAGTGAATATATTTTAAGTTACTAGACTGAAAGTATATAACTTTTAACCAGAGTAGTTTTGCAAATGATTACTAATGACCTAGGAAGTGTAGGTTGGAATCCAATAAATCTCATGAAATATAGATATTTGTTTACAACTCAGCCTTGGGCAATTTTGTAATCATGTCAATTATACTTGTAAATCTAATTTCAGCTCATGGTCTTTGTTTTTATTATTTTATTATTTTTTCTTACTAGTACATAACATTTACATTTCTAATGGGGAATTGGCACATCTACATAACACATCTTTATTCCTTTGTTCAACTCTTTTCCTGTCCTTTCTTCCTCCTCCATCCATTTCCAAATCCCCTTCTCTTTTCTTGTACTTGTTTGTAATACATAGAAATTCTATTTCACAAGCTATTCCCCTTCCAGGTATTTTTGTAAAAGATAAAGGCATCACATTACAGTGACCCATGAGCACCCATGTCTATAGCAGCACAACCCATAATAGCTAAATCTTGGAAGCAGCTTACTTGTCCATCAACAGATGAATAGATAGAGAAAATGTATTTACACACAATGGAGGTATGCCCAAAGAAAAGTCACTATTTTCTAATGTTAAAAATATGCACTTAAAATGTATGACAGTATTGAAAAATATTCATGAATTATAATTAGGAAACTATTCATTTTATAAATACAGACAAAGTGGAATATTCTG